GTTTCACATCAGAAAATCCTTTCCTTTCCTGAACAACAAACAAATATAATCAGAAGGTCCTGCAGCACCTGGAGTCCTGGACTCCTTGTGCTAGATGTGATCCCAGTCTCCCACGCGTGCAGAGCATGCGCATGTTCAAGTTTTCGGTATATAACCCAAACAACAATTGACATGGCTTGTTTCCATTGGTTAAACAGCCCAGAAAAACCTGCCGAAAGCCTCAGTATGTCCCAGACAAAATCCTTGATATGTCTGTCCTCTATATATATCTGGCGTCTGGCCCATATATTTCAGCACTATAATTAAGCGAACAATATAAATCTCTTTTTTTTGAAGCCGTCGGCAGGGATGGTCCCTGCTTTTTATAATTAAGGGGAAACAATATGTAATAAGGCCGCAGTCCAAAAAAAACAAGGGTTAATTGGATCTATGCCATTATAATTTCTTCGTTTCTGAAGAACGCTATTACTATTCGTCTATTTGAAAGCATGCTATTATAATTTTTGGTTCTCACAAAAATGCCATTGAATACGTATGGACACAGTTTGGGCCCAGCTGCAGGCGTATACGAAGACGTATACTTCATCTCCCCTGTCACTGACACGCGGGCCCCACATGTCATCTTCCTCCTCTTCTCCGAATCTCTCTCTCTGGTTCTCTCTCTCCATCCCGAGCGCCAGGCCGCGGGTCGCTGCCTCCGCAGGTCGCTGCCTCCTCTCCCGCCCGTCCCCTTTCTGGCTCCGCCTCCTCCGCGCCGCCCTCTCCACCGCCGCCCCCACCCTCGGCCCCACCTCCACTCCCGCTCCCCCTCCATTGCACGAGCGCCTCCGCCTCCGCGGCACGAGCTCCTCCTCGAGCGCCTCGGGGAGGAGGTGATGGCCGCGCTCGGGGAGATGGGCATCTCCAAGCCGCGAGCAGCAGCAGCACAAGCCCTCCTTGCTCCAGCGCCTCCACCAAGCACCGCCGTCACCATTGCCGGGGTCGACCCGAGCTCGTCGATCTCCTCGCACAAGCCATCTTGCGCCCTTCCGCTGCTTCCATCAGCTTCGTAAGTGCTCCCTCTCCGGCTCTCTCTCTCTCTCTCTCTCACGGCAGCCCACCATTATACGCCATTATACGGCCACGGCGAGCAGCGAAGAGCAGAAGAAGATTGCCGAGAGCAGCTGGCGAAGCGAAGCGAAGCGAAAGCAGCGGCGGTGGCCTGGGCTGGGGGCGGGGAAGGGGCCGTGCCTGCTGGAGCTCATGGGGACGGGGATGGGACCGCGCCTGCCGTATCCATGGAGGAGGAGGTCCGCCGGACGCCGGCCATGGAGGAGGACGCGCCCGCCGCCGGGGAAGGCCAGCAGCACGCCGAGCAGCGGCTCGCGGGGTCACGACAGCGGCTCGTCAGCTCACCCGCAGCCGCCGCCGCCGGCAGCGCCCGTCGTGGCTGCGTCGGGATGGAGAGAGAGAGCCGAGAGAGAGAGATGAGGAAGAGGAAGATGACATGTGGGGCCTCATGTGTCGCTGATGGGAGATGAAGTATACGCTTCAGATACTGCAGCACTGGGCCCAGGTTGTGTCCATACGTATTCAGTGGCATTTTTGTGGGAAACGAAGAATTATAATGGCATGCTTCCAAATAGACGAATAGTAATGGCGTTCTTCAGAAACGAAGAAATTATAATGGCACAGATCCAATTAAACAAAAAAACAACCCAACATGATTGACTAAAGGGACATTCGAAGAAGAGGTGTAGAATTGTCTCTTCCATACTCGCATTGCAGTAAGACACAGCTGTAGTCATCAAGGTGTCTGTTTTTTCTCCTTAGTAGGTATTCAGCTTGCCCCCGAGCAGCAGCCAAAAGAAAAACTTTGCTTGCGAAGATTCTTAACTGGCCATAGCCATTTGGAAAAGGGGGGGGGGTTCTATCAAGAGAGTATATGCTTTCTTTGGTACAAAGGTGTGGAGCCCCAGCTGTACCTCCACTTGTCTTGTCTCATGGGATCCCAAACTCTCTCTTCGATCAGAGTGATGAGGTCGTCAAAGTTGAGCTGCAGTTTGGGCTAATAGGGTAGACTGAACATTGTTTTTTTGCTCTAGGAAGTACCTGATAGAGCAGTTCAGTTTCTTAGCAAAAGTGAATAGTTGCGGAAAACATTGTTTGATGGTGCTAGAGTGCCACTAGTCTTTCTGAAGTTGACAGCGATCTTGTGGATGTCTTCCACCAGAAAGACCAGAAAGACCCCATGGGGTTTCTAGCTTGAGGTGGGGTGGTGTTGGAAGCATAGAGGTTGTTCCAGGTCAGAGTCACCCAGAGGATATCAGTATGGTTATAGAATTTATCAAGGAACTTGAAGAGGAGAGTTTAGTTCTAAGTCCGTAGCTTGAGGATTCCAAGGCCTCCTTGATCCTTAGGTTTGCAGGCTGTGTCCTAGGCATCTAGGCAGGAGCCATTTTTTTTAATTTCCCTACCACTCCACAGTGAGTGTTTTCTATAGGGATCAATCTGGTCCACCACTCTTGGTGGCAGCCTGAGGGTGCACATGTAGAATGTGGGCATTGCAGAGAAGGCAAAGTTCACAAGGATTAGTCTACCATGATAGGATAGATATATGCTAACTCGCATTAACTGACCTTCAATTTTGGAGAGGAAGGGGTGAAATCTTGGAATGTGGGTCTAGTGGTACCTAGGGGGAGCCCCAAATAGGTGAAATTAAAGGCATGGATCCCACACTGCATCCAAAAGTTCTAGAGAGAGGTGTAAACATTTTTCTTCCCGCACATTGATAGGGGCTAGGAAGGTTTTGTGAAAATTAACATGCAGACCTGTGGAGTCAGAGAATCATCTTAGGAAACATTTCAAGTTAAGTTGTCTAGCATCTGCTGGGAGGATGAGGAGAGTGTCATTTGCATATTGGATGATGGGGTAGTCTCCAAAAAAAGTTTTCACCCAAAGGGTGTGTTTGAGTAATCCTTTCTTGGAAGCACCATTAGCTATTGGTTCGCAGGAGATAAGCAACAAGAACAAACATTAAATTTGTATGAATACTGTTGATACATGAATCCCACTAAACAAATGCACATGTCTCTTCTGGTTGATACATGAATCCCACTAAGGAGAAGACGGATCAATTAAAAAAAGTTAAAAGCCAACCTGGAGGAAGGCCCATGTGGGTTTCTTCTGATTGTGTGTCTCTGTGTTTTTCGTGTTTGTTTTGTAAAAAGTTTTCTTAATCCCTTCTGCTGGGTACTTTCTAAGCTAGGGGAGATTTTCAGAGATAGTGGAGGGTAGTTCATTCTTTACTTGTTTGGTGCCATCGTGCACAAAAAGCTGAGATGTAAACCGGTATCTTTAGAAACACCTTTGATGCTTTCAATATAAGCAGTGGCATATGCCTTTGGCCTTAAAATATCATAGGGAGTGTATATCAATAATGCACACACGTCAAGTAGTAAAATTAACCTTATAACTAGTTGACAATCAGTAGTCCGAAGCACTTAATCTGATTCCCCAATAATTTCATTGGAGAGCGAGGTGGTTTTGAACACTTCTACTGAACTTACTACAACGATAGGTCGAGAATATGTTCGTGTCATCGTGTGCGGCAATGTTCATACTTATCAATCTCTGCCTTTAACCCAAGAGCCATCATAACTAATATTCCTTTCAGGATATGATCGTATTATTCTTCCACTATGCCATTTGTACTCCAGATATTGACACTATGCTCTTTTGAATTGCGTTTGGCCAATGACCACTGCAACTGTTGTGTCGGATACTGAGATAGGTAGTTCTTTTTCTAAACACAGACACATATACATACTCCCCTATACACACACGCTCAGCTTTATGAACACAGGCAATGACATAGTCAGACGACCTTAAGTACGTGACCTAACCTTTGAAAGAACAGATTTCTAAAATAAAACTAGGATAGTGCAAGCACCTGTGACGACTCAAACGCTGAGCCAAGGAAAGTTCACTAAAGCGCTAAATATTTACGTAATTAAAAAATACTTCTGCCACACATTCACAGTCACGTAAACTAGAGCTTAAAGTGATCACAAAAGTTATTCTTTGTATTAAGCTTCTTGCCAATTGAGCAGTCATTCTATTCAAAATTCTCAACGAATGTGTTTACCATAAGGCAATTAGTAAGCACATCAGGCAACTTTATTTTAGCAAAGAAATGCACTGTGGTTATATTTACTCCATAGCTCAACACTCTATGACATACTCCATTCTTTTGAAATTGAAAATCATTTTAGCTTTTCTAGGTGCAAAGGTTTTACTATTTATCTAGATATAATTTATATTTATGGCATGTAAAAGCCTACGTGACTTAATTACAATTTGAAATTGAGGGAGTACTATATACTGCTGCTGTTGCTTAATTCCCTGCCGCTTCCATTATTGTACTTTATTATTTGCAGTGACAAACAAAAAGTCCGGTGTATCACAAAGGATAATTTCAACACAATTACTCCCTCCGTTCCAAATTATAAGTCACTTTAACTCTTTTGATATATCTATTTCGCTATGCATCTTGATATAATAATATGTCTAGATATATAACAAAATGGATGAGAAAAAAGTCAAAGCGACTTATATTTGGAACCGAGGGAGTACTTTTCTTAAATGGACAAATAAGTCCACGAACATGTACAGACTCTTGAATATGTACACCGAAAAGGAAACAGATAAAAACATTATTGAGCTGAGCTGTACAGCATCTATATCTCTTCAAGCGAACTACTCTCGTTGGTTCAACCAAACCGAACACGCGTCTTCATAGACCACCACACATATATACTAGATATTTCAAATTACAAACTACAACAGTGAACGAACGTGATATCTATAAAAGCCCCAGTGTACGTACCATCAAGAATACACGCACACTCATATCACAAATCTCTCTCTCTCTCTCTCTCACCAAACCCCTCCACAAACTGACACAACACAGGAAGATATAATTGCATCTGTTAGGCAAACAGCCCACAGCTGGCAGAGGTATGGCGCCATCACGGCGTAGGAACAACTCCTCCCTCTTCGAGTCCTCCACCATCATCACGGCGAACCTCATCATGGCCTCCTCGTCGTACCTCCTATCGAGAATGGCACCCCGTGCGGCAACCGCATCACCGACGACTAAGATGGTAGCGACCACCAGGGCTCCTCCGACGTGGCCCTCGGCTACATCATCCGCTACCCGCTCTGTGGAGCCCATGGCCGGGTGCAAGACGGTCCTGATGAAGCCCGTCGACGGGCTGGATGGCAAAGTAGACCAACAAGCGGAAATGTTCATCAGGAGTTTCCGAGAGAGGACCCTGTCGGAGACAGCTCGCTTAGAAGCAGCTACTGCAGGAACTCGCCCGCCGCCGCAAACGCCGGTGACTAGCACGTCTAGCACCACATATGGGCAGGGACTGCGCGCAGATAGCCACGTTAGAGGTGCAGGATATCCCAATATGTAAGCAAGATGTATGTCTATCGTCATGTAAACGAGGAAGGTGATGCAGTAGCATCAGCGGTTACAAGAACTCGTTTCCATTAGCAAGTTAATTAACAGTGAAATTGTTAACAGCCGTGTTTTGAGCCATCACTGCCGGAAACAGTCGCTTTGCCATGTGTCACAGGCACTGGGCAAAGAATAAAAAACACTCGGCAAAAGCTTTGTCGAGTGTAACGCTCGGCAAACAGCACACGACATCTACAGTGCTGGCAAACGTCTCTTTGCCGAGTATTTTCTATCGGGCACTCAACAAATGCTTTGCCGAGAGCTGAAACTGACGCTCGGTGAAAAAAAGTAACGTGACGGCGTAGAGACGGTCATGGCGCGTTTACCGAGTGTCCCGTACATGATACTCGGCAAATCTGCCTTCTTTGCCAAGTGTCAACTCCCAGATACTTGACAAATCTGGGTGGTTTGCCGAGTATCAAATCCCGGACACTCGGCAAACCTGCCTTCTTTGCCGAGTGTCAAATAACGGACACTCAGCAAAGACGGGCCCAGAACGTACAAATGTTGGCTTCTTTACCGAGTGTCACAGGGCAGACACTCGGCAAAAAAGTCACTTTAGTCCTAGAATGCACAGGTTTTTACCACATGTCCATTTTGCCGAGTGTTTTTACCCTAGCACTCGGTAAAAGGCCTATTTACCGAGTGTAACACTCGACAAAGCTACCATATATTTCCTGTTTTTATTGTTCGGTCACGTATAAACATTACAGGCATCACACATAGTTCACAATAAGTATCACATGCAGTTCATATAGATATATCAACAACACATAAATGCAAATAAACTTCAGAATCACTAGTAGATTGATTCACAACCACAAATAGTCACAAGTAGTCACAGATAATCCATAAATACAAATGCAAATAAAACCACAAGTAGTCACTTAGGCCACTGGTTCCACTACGACCACGCTGGGTCATGAGGCTCATTCGATGTCGTCGATTGATTCTGCACAAAGGAGAAAAGATTGCATGTGTGAGACAAGATTGAACAACACGTATGGTGTCTCTGCTGTCTAACTAGTATAACCCTTGCAACTATCAGCAATATCTTCTCAGTTGTATTGTGCTCTAGTATGATTGCTTAAGTACTAGTTGGTAACAAACATATAGCATTAGTCACTAAGTTTCTAGTGTCTGGGTATCTTTATAAGATTGATTCTGCATAAACTAGAAACGGTGATTATAATGTTGTAAAGTGACTCACAATGCCTGAAACAATATTTATAGTAGGTTGAGGAGGAGGAACTGTCATCGATGGCGGAGGTTGATCGATTGCAGCGTAAACACCCCTCATATATTCAAACATCTGCAGCCGCTCTGCCTCCATCCTCTGTCGCTCTGCCTCCATCTTCGCCTCTAGCTCCTCCTGGCGCCTCGTTTCTTGTTCCAGCTGAGCCTATAATATTTTATCCTAATGTTACAATACAATGCAAAAGTATGTAAAAATCAATGAACGATAAATAAAACAGGAATAACCTAGAGTGCGTTCATCTGGAACCGTGTAGAGTCCGGCCATGGGCGTATCGTCGGGCTGGAACTCGTGCTCCGTGCTCGAATGTGGGAGAGAGTGGGAGTACTGGCCGTGTCGATTGTACCGTCGCCAATCCAGAATTGGCCAAGCTTCTTGCCTCCTCCCACCCTGATGACCACTTCTCCATCAAGGTCTTGGGCACTCGGATCGTACTCTGGGCCATGGACCGCCCTTGCCATCAATTGTATCCATCAAGACGACTGTGGACGGACTCGTTGCTGTACGTCGAGGGTGGGTCATCTAGGTTGTAGGCGACGTCGGCCGTCGCCTTGCCCTTATGGGCCAAAGCATATGCCATGAACTGGGAGCAAGGCTCACCACCATGTGCCACTGACTACAAAAAAAGCAATATAATTAGAAATTATACAGAATTGAGCGTTAGAATACAGAAATGAATTCGCGTATCCATCTAGCCACGTATTATGAGAGGTTGAGGTTGCCTTGATGGTGTGGTGCACCCGGTATGAGCAAACGCCGTTCTCGGCAAGCATTGTGATTCTCCTCCCACGCAGGGTCGCACCACCTATCCACCATCCGGGCCGAGCACTGCAGATCGTAGGCGCACCACTGAAAGCTCTAGTTTGGTTTTGGTGAATTGATGAAACCCTAAGTGCTAACCTAGTTTATCAAAGTGATCATGAGATAGGTAGCACATTCTAAGTGGTGAAGGAAATGAAGAATCATGACATGATGATGGTGATGCCATAGTGATGATCAAGTGCTTGGACTTAAAAAGAAGAAAGAGAAAAATAAAAGGCTCAAGGCAAAGGTATAAGTGGTAGGAGCCATTTTGTTTCGGTGATCAAGACACTTAGCGAGTGTGATCATATTTAGGTTCGATAGCCATACTATTAAGAGGAGTGAAACTCATATCGAAATGCGGTTATCAAAGTGCCACTAGATGCTCTAACTCATTGCATATGCATTTAGGATCTAGTGGAGTGCTAACACCCTTTAAAACATTTGTGAAAATATGCTAACACATGTGCATAAGGTGATACACTTGGTGGTTGGTACATTTGAGCAAGGGTTCAAAACTTCACCGGCGGAGTGTCCGCCCATAGAGTGTGGACAGTTCAACGGTGCCACCGACTCCCTGTACAGAAAAGACAAGGTTTCATAGAGTGCACCGGATCGCTGGTCTCACCTGGACCAGAGCATCCAATTAGTGGAAGCAGTGAAGACACTGGCATCGGTCTTCGACCGGACGCTGGGTCACTTTGTGACCGGATGTTGGTTGGGTGTGTCCGGTCCTGCTGACGTGACAGCACACAGTGGAGATGATGTGTGATCGACGCAGGGCGAGTCCGGTCGAATGTGACTGGACGCATCCGGTCGCAAATTTCCACCTCTGGGAGCTTACTAGAAGTGACCGGACGCTGGGGGTCTGTGTCCGGTCCTGCACTGTAGAGCGTCCGGTCACAACTTAAGTGTACCAATGACCGTTGAGATCGGACGATCAGCATTTGAAGCCGATGACACGTGGCAAGCATCGGCGACCGGACGCTGGGGTCCTACGTCCAGTCGATCTGTCCGGAGCGTCTGGTCACCCCGAGCTATACCTAGTGAAGGGGTACAACGGCTCTATTTCGTAGGGGCTTTTATTTAAAACCATGGCCGGCTCAAGCTCACCCTCTTGGCCATTTGCATTGACATAGCAACCTTGTGAGCTTAGCCAAAGCCCTCCCACTCATCTCCATCATAGATTCATCATCTTTGTGAGATTGGGAGTGAATCCAAGTGCATTGCTTGAGTGTTTGCATCTAGAGGCACTTGGTGTTCATGTTTTGCTGCGGGATTCGTTTGTTACTCTTGGTGGTTGCCGCCACCTAGATAGCTTGGAGCAGCGAGGATCATCGAGCGGAGGTTGGTGATTGTCTCCGGCTCCAATCGTGGTGATTGTAAGGGGTTCTTGACCTTTCCCCGATGGAGAGCCAAAAGGTACTCTAGTAAATTGCTCGTGGCTTGTGTGATCCTCATCTTGTGTTAGTTGTGTAGCACCCTATTGAGGGTTTGGCGTGTGATACCAATTAGCGCGTGAACCTCCAAGTGAGTGAATCGCCACAATGAGGAGTTGCTTGCCGGCAAGCAAGTGAATCTCGGTAAAAAATCATTGTGTTCATCATTTGATTCCGAGGTGATTGGTATTCATTAGTATTCATTCTTGTGATTGATTGGTTTATTCCTCGACTCAACGGTATAACCATCTTGCTCTCTCTATTTATATTACCGCAAACTAGTTGTCAAGCTCTTTAGTGTAGCTAGTCATGAGAGCTTGTTAGTTTGGTTAGTGTGGCTCTTTAGTTAGCTTTTGAGAGCACACTAATTTAGTGTAGTGACATAGCATTATGTGGATAGAGACTATAGAAACTAGAATTGTGGTAGGTGGCTTGCAATTTTTAGTAGGCTAGCGCAACACTCGCTTCACCTCATATTTGTCTAACCGGTTTGTTAAGTGTTGTAGAAATTTTTAATAGGTTATTCACCCCCTCTAGCCATTAGGACCTTTCAACCACCACGGAGGCACCTACGTCATCAAGTATATGACATATAAGAAGATGAAATTAAGCATAATTAATCTAAAAAAATAAGTATTAATGTTCTGTATTTACCTTCAGATGTTGTTCCGGGGTCAGCTTCATGGTTCTTGCCGCACTTTTAGGGAGCCTCACTCTAAGAATTTCCGCATGGTATTGGATCGTGGTCTAGATGCATGCCTCGTAGTGCATGTCCTTGACAAGTTTCTTGGCATCTTTGTCAGCCACATCATCTGCCTTGGCCTCGTATCCCTCCTTGCATCTAAAGAAATCCTGCATATAGACGCGATGTATCCAGTCATTATTTCAAGAATGTCCAATCAATGTGATGTATTGAGCAATGTAGTGCGAGAGAGACTTACCCAAAGCTCGGCCTTGACATATTGCGCCTTGTCGGTGAATACCCTACAATCCAGATCAGGGGCGTCGGGGACGGTGGCATAGTGGGCCCACGTGTAGGCCAGCTCGATAGTTCCACCGAACTGCACCAGGCTAGGGAACTTTTCCTTGATCAAAAGACCAAGGATGCCGTTCATATGGCGTGCGTGATCACCCCCACCGACCTTCCTCCAACCACTGCCCAAGTGATTAAGATAAATTATTAGCTTCTATTGTAATTTTGAACATATCAAACGAAAAATTAGTGATAACATCTAAAGGTACTTACTTGTCTCTATCGGGTCAAATCAGTGGGCGTCTCTCAAGAGGTATCGGTCGCCTCGGTAGGGTCGAGGGACCTCGCAACCACACACACGATGAGGTAGAGGAAGAGGTACTCCCTATCTCCTCCTCCACCTGTACCTCCTCCTCCACCTGTACCTCCTCCTCCTCAGAGGATGAGTGAGCAGAAGGTAACTCAGACAGTGATGAAGGTACAGGCGA